TCACTCCCACATCACTGGACTTCAGATAAGTCCTGTAGTTTCTCATTACACAGAGGCTGGGCAACAAATAATACAGCTAGCTCCCCCAGGACTTGACCATTATCCCAATTTTCTCAGGGTCCCCTAAAGATGTCATTGCTTCCAGACAACAAAAATTAGTCTAGAGAACACAACATCCACATTCCCAAGAGGTACCATGGGTGGGTGTTGGTTATTTGGTGGGTTATAAATGCTTACCACCAATTGGAGGGGTTACAAGTTGTTACTGATCAGGGTAAGGGAGAAGCAAGGGAGGTTAGATTTAAAAAAAAAAAACCTCTCAAAAACAGGGGGGATATGGAAAGGATAGGATAAAGGGTAGATTATTAAATCTACTTTAAACTAAAAAACAGCTATTAATCTCAAACAGTTTACATTGGTATGGATTTTTATATATTGAGACAAATTTAAGGTTATTTTTATTATACTGTATATATGTTTCTGTTCTTGTTTAAGGTATTGTACCTATGCAGCTCATTTAAAAATGTAATGTGTAATTAATAAATACAGGTTAGTAGTTAGTCATCTATAATAATCAAACTTGTAGTTATGTTAAATATGTTTTCAAGGTTAAACAGAGATATATTTTAGATAGATAGGTGGTCTTCAAACACTTAAGAGACCTAAAGAATATGAAATTTAAAATGTTTCAAAAACCTCAGGCTTTTCATGACAGTAAGATATGTCTGCTCCTGAAAGAATTTACTTCAGAAAAGGATGATGGGCATCAAAGAACCTCCATATGGAGTTTGCTTTTGTTGTGGCAAAGTTAGCCACTGGTAAAGAAGCTGCCCTTGCCTTGACTCCTGATAGTATGCTGTCCAAATTAGACAAGCAGGGCACAAAAGAAGACAACTGCCTAACTTCACCAAGGCAAGATAGAATAGTCCTTCAAAATGTCTGCTTCACAGAAAAGTCTGTGAGATGTTCTAGGCCTGTAGGCTGATGATGGATGCCCCAATGATGCAGAGGAACTTTGAGTGACTGTCCAGGCAGCCAACTGCTTCTGTCATTTCTATACTTTTGGAAGTTGTTTGCTCTGCACTTCCTGTTTACTCAGGTAATATTATATCCTTCTCGGGTCTCTGATGGAGTTGAAGATGCATGGTTATAGATACAGTTTTCCTTGTTATCAAATACAAAAAAGAAACTAAAAATAAAAGAAGTATAAAGTGTATAATATTGAGAAAGGAAGTAGGGGACAAATCTAGGCCCATGTCAGACACCAACAAGACATGAAGGGAGTCACAGAGGGAGATATTCAGAATGAAAGAAAAGTAAGAAGCCATGAGGCAAAACATAGATTAATATAAATGGGTTAAATTAAGTTATAAGTGTTAAGATTTTTAAAAAATGCTGCAAGATCCCCAGTGGCAGTAGACAGCAGAAATGCTGTAAGTCCCCAAATGGTGGTAGCGGGCCATATGGTGGAAGGCAGTGGACCCCAGGAGTAGCCAGTCCCAGGCAGAGATGGCTGCCAGTCCCTGAGCAGTGGCTGGTCCCAGGCAGGGAGACACATGGTGGGTGGGCTGGTCCCAGCTTAAAATAGGGGCCACACAGCGGTGTGAGCAGGCAGCAGGTAGGAGGCACATGGACAGACACATCGTATAGAATAGAATTAGATATTTATTACTTGGAGGAGGAGGGGGGAAGGAGAAGAGGACAGAGAGAGAGAAAGGGGAGGAGCAGAGAAGTGGGGAGAGAGGCAGAAGCGAAGCTGCCTCTCAGAGAAGAAGATGGAAAAGAGAGCGAGCTCAGGCTGGAAGCTGAAGATCAGCCTGCCTCAGCGGATGGGGGAGGAAGTGGGCGTGGCTTGTCTCTTAAAGAGACAACAATCATAACAACAATAAGAGGTCGTGGGACAAACCTAAGCTAAGACTAAGCTTTCATAGTTGATAAGAAGTCTCTCTGTCATTACTGGTGAGCTGGCAACCAGCAACAAAGCTAGTTACAGAACATAGCTCAGTAGGCAGAGTGCTGATGCGACATGGTAGCATTCACAAGGCCTGGGGTCGGAATCCAGTACTGCATAAAGAGGACGTGTTGGTACATACCTGGAACCCCAGAACTCAAGCAATAGAGAATGAGGAGGACCAAAAGAGCAAGGTCTTCCTCAGCCAAAGTGAGTTTATGTTTGACATCATGGAAAGTTGTTGGGTCGTCCTTTAACTAGAAAGGAATGTCTGAGACCTGATACTCACTTGAGAGCTGGATCTTCAACTACCTAGTGTCTGTTTCTCCACAGCTGGCTAAGGCCATGGGAATCTGATGACAAGCTAAGGAGCCTACTGGTAACTCAGATTATAACCTAATTTTGGTTATAACGTAGCTTGGCTCTAGGAGGAGGGGGTGAACCTCATGGCGCTCTCACCATATGAACCACATGGTACTCTTACAGTTGTGTGGCCTTGGCAAAATCATTTATCTTTTCTTTCATGTGTAAAAAGAGTGCAATAACAACCTTGTAGGCTCATGTGGTCTACAGCTATTGCATGGAAAAAGAAAGATGCCTGCTTTTGATTCATAGAGCTCAGCAAAAGACAAGCTTGTTTTCCTCACTGGGCAAGGAGGCCTTTGAATGGAGGCGTGATTCCTCTTGATTGACACAGCCCAGGAGTACACCCATGGGACGTTGGGTCCTGACATTATAATCATACTCAGAAAGACTTAAGGTTATTAATCAATTTAGCAATTAAGAGGACATTTAGAATTAATTCTCTCCTAGAGTCATCAGAGCACAACTCTGGGCTAGGTACCCCAGGGAGAATTTTTTAGATTTTCTTCTGGTGGTTGTGTGTGGCCGTTGACTGGCAGGCTTTCCCTCTGGACACTGTCAAGGACCAAATAAATCACACCACTCTTTTATGGTCTGCCTTGGCAAATGGAGTTCATTATCCCCAGGGACACTTTCAACATGCCAGAGCGGGTATATAAAGCCATTGGAGAGAAATGGCTTTTTCTAAGGGGATCCTTTTAGTAAAGACCTTCAAGGGAAACAGAAAGTAGTCTCTCAGAGGTAGGTTTATAACACAATCTTAAGATAAGGCATGAAACCATGAAGTAATTCCACACTAATGGTGGGTTTGTTACCTGTAAGCCTGACCTTTAAGCCACACAGGAGATTCCTGTTATGTGAGGGTAATTGATCCCTGAACATCGTCACTGAAAGTGAATCCGCTTAAAATAGGGGCCACACATATCATAGTAAATACATAAGGGAAAGTGTGGGTTTGGATTTTATGTTGAAAATTAAACCTAAACAAATTACTACACAGTACCATCCTTGTGATTTAGATAGGACTCCTGTGTACCCTAGCTAGGGTTACTATTGCTGTGATGAAACAACATGACCAAAGCATCTTGGAGAAGACAACGTTTATTTGGCTTACACATCTATATCACTGTTATTGTTGAAGGAATTCAGGACAGGAGCTCACACAGGGCAGGAACCTGGAGGCAGGAGCTGATGCAGAGGCCATGAAGGATGCTACTTACTGATTTGCTCCCCATGGCTTACTCAGTCCATCTTCTTATAGACCCCAGTACCACCAGCCCAGGGGTGGTACCACCTAAAATGGGCTGAGCCCTCCCCATCAGTCACTAATTAAGAAATGTCCTACAGCCAGATCTTGTGGAGACATTTTCTCATTTGAGGCTTCCTCCTTTCAGATGAGTCTAGCTGTGTCAAGTTGACACAGACCAGGCAGCTCACTGTGCCCTTGTTTAGCTGTGACAAGGAAGGCATAGACCCTCCAAACCCCCTTATATGAGCCCCCCTCTGAGTAGTCCAACGCCTTGTTCCTATCGATCAGTCGGAACAGTGTATTCCTTAACCAAATTTCAGTTAAGATTCTTTTCTTTCTCAGGTCTCTAGAATGTAGCCAACCCTGTCCAAGCCAGCTGACAGCATCCCAGAGTATAGGCTAGCCCGAGTTAAACCTTTCTTGTATAGACACTCATCAGACCACATCATCCAGCCCACTTCCTCACACCAGCCCCTCTTGCTCCCCCACAAAGGAGAAACCCTTTCTGCCCAATGTGTAAGCCACGTGTAGCTCTAAGAGTCAAAGCTGCCTCCCTAGTACAATAGTCATTTTCCCTCTGCCAACCTTAAGCAATCTCTTGGAATAAAAATCTATCTCAGCACAATGGGATGATATGTCTTTAATTCCAACACAGAAAGAAAGAGACAGGCACATCTCTGTGAGTTCAGGGCTAGTCAGGGCCATACAATGAGAGCTGTCTTTTAAAGAGTCTACCTTTCCCAAGCCTACATTTGTTCTTTTGACAGTAGTAATCAACCAGAGAAAGACAGTTATTAGAGTTTAGGGGATGGCTCAGTGGGGACAGCGCCTACTGCAGCAGCCTGAGAACCTGCGTTTGGATCCACAGAGAAGCTGTCTTTGGCGGCAGGTGCCTGTAACCCCAACACTTGTGGGTAGAGACAAGGAGATCACCAGAGCGCACTTGCCAGCCAGACTAGCTGTAACAGTGACTCCCAGGTTTAATAAGAGACCTTGTTTTAACAAAGTAGAGAAACAATTAAGAACATCCCAGCATCAGCCTTTGGCCTCCCTTGGTGTGTGACACAACACACACACACACACACACACACACACCATAATTTTTAAAAGCATAATTGTCTCTCTCTCATATATATACATACATATATAATGTGTTATATATAGTTATGTTTTGTATGTAGAAATAACTTATTTTGTGCATGTATGTAAAACATAAAGTGTTATATGATTATATTTAAGTACAAAACACTGTATTAACCAGTAATTATATGTATTTACATTATATACATGCATAAATATGTATATATACATGAGCTTTGGGGGTGATGCTAAAGTTGAAACTCAGGACCTTGTGATAGGAACTCTGTCACTGAGTTATAGCCACACACCCAAAGCTTCTCTTTATAGCATGTGACGACTAATTTTGATTGTTGATACCTGGGAAGAGGGACTGTCAATTGAAAGAATTATCTCCTTCATATCGGCCTTCATACGTGTCTGTAGAGCATTTTCTGGCAGCAGACAAGCGACTCCGGGTTGTATACTGAGAACAGAAGCTGAGCAAGCCAGTAAGCAGTGTCCTCTACGGTCTCCACTTCTATTTCTGCTGCAAGCTCCTGTCTTGGCATCCCTTTATAGTAAATGGTAACCTGTAAGCAGAAATAAGGCCTCTCCTTTTCAAGTTGCTTTTGGTTATGGTGTCGATCACAATAGAAAAGAAATCTCGTACCTATGGTAAGTGAGTTGCGTGTGTATTAAACTCATTTGTTCCGTGACACATACAATAACACCAATAGTCTTCGGACCACGGTCAGTATGCCCTTTGCTTCCATGCCCATAAAAGGCATAACACACGATGGGAAGTCACGGCGGAGGAAACCTGTTCAGCCTGTGGTCAGAGTGAGAGAGAGAGAAAGGGGCTGGGGTCCCAGAAGTCCCCTCAAAAGCACATCCGATTATGACCAGAAGACTTCTACCTTCGCCCCACCTTTGACAGCGTAGCCATGGATTGTAAACAAAGCTTTCAACACATGGGCCCTTTGGGGACTCGGATCCAAGCCATTGCACTCTTGGCCTTTGTTCCTTTTTTTTTTTCTTAATGAGAAACTTTCATTAATGCAGTTTAAGGACACCGGGAGTTCTGCAAACACTGATACGGAGGCCAGCAATCCTTCCACCTCCCACCTCAGCTCTACACCTGGGTTCCTCGGGGTGACAGACTCAACTCCTGTTCATGGATTTCTCCTCCCTCCCTCCCTTCCCCCTGACCACTTCTTTTAACTGAGTCTCACTAAGAAGCACAGACTGGCCTTGAACTCCCAATCCCAATAGTACATCATAATGCCCCAAAGTTACATAGCGGGCTTCTGTTTTTTAATTTTCCAGTGTTTCCAATTTCTTAGATTTCCTTATTTTAGGCATTTTTTTTTTCTTTCCCAGGTGGGAAAGGAGGCTTTATCTCTGCCTCACCAACACTCCGGACCTCACCACATGTCTCCTGCTCCTCTCAGCCCATGGTTCCCCTGTATAATTAGATCATGATTCTCATTAGATCAACATTCAATGTTTCCCTTCACAAGAATACATAAACATACTTCACAGCCAACTACTTCATGAGTGTGTAAGGATTATTTTTCTTTTCTTGCTAAATTTTCTTCCTAGGGTTGAAAATCATTTTGGTTTTGTTTATTTGCTTAGCTTTCTATATACTTGACCCTAATCTATTCCCAAACTCTCCTCAGATTGAGTGTGTGATGTGCTCTCAAGTCTCTCAAATGCTGTAGTGCCTTCAGGATTCTGGCCATTTCATTTTCTTTAAGAGTCAGGCCCTGGATCTTGTGGCTAGGCCGGTTTGAGATCTCTTCTGCCCTCTGACTGAAGCTGCCTCCTCGGTTGCACAGTGCCGTATCGTCCAGACCATGCCTGCCCTCTCGTGTGGGGTCTTCTTCCCCAGGGACTATGCCTTCTGCTGTTTTTCTTTGATTGAGTATATGATATTGTCACAGTAGCTCCCTGAGACAGAGTCCCAGCAGGACAACATTTAAGACTGCTGTCTCTGAAGACCTTGCCATTCTACACTCCCACGGAATTGAGAGTGGGGGGAGAAGGAAATCCTGGGTTGGAGCAGTTGGCCATTCTGGCTCAGCTTTGTTGGAAGGTCTTTCTGATCTTCCCCCTCTCAGTGAAACCTGCTTGTTTGCTCTGGAATCCCAATCTCTAGTATGCTCTCTTCGTAACTAATACTAAAAATGCCATAACAATAAACCTTTATTTTACAGAATTTGTTTTCTTCATTAATTATTCTGGGCATTTAATGGGCTTTTTTAGGCCTAGAAAATCATTTCTTCAATTAAGACTGGGGGAAATTTCCTTAGATTATCTCTTCTCTGTTCTTTATTTTTTGAGTTCCCATAATCCATAATTTGAGTGCTTTTATGAACAAGTCTAATATTCTCTCTCTATCTCTCTCTCTCTCTCTCTCTCTCTCTCTCTCTCTCTCTCTCACACACACACACACACACACACACACACACCTTTTACAGGTAGCCCAGGCTGGCCTCAAACTTTTGGTCTCCTGCTTCTACCTCCTGATACCATGCTTGCCCCCTTCCGTTTACCCTGAGTAATTTTCTTCCCCTTAATTTTCATTTCTACTGATTTAATCTTTTTGTTCTCCTATCATATTTGATTTAGAAAAGCTGTTCTTCTGTTCCCTGAGAATTCCTTTTTAATAGCATTCTATTCTTAACTTTTAGGTGCAATATCACATCTTTTCTTAAAATTTGACTTTCTTATTCTTTTTTTGTGTGTGTGTGTGTGTCTGTGTGTGTGTGTGTGTGCCAAGTGCACACATGCCTTATCACACATGTAGAGGTCAAAGGATGATTTTCAGAAGTCACTCCTCTCCTTTTTATCATGGGTCATCTGGCATACTCTACCTGCCTTTCCTTCTCCCTGGCCCAGTAATATACTTTTCTAAGTATATTGCATTTGATTACTTCTTACGGATGTGGTTAAAAACCATGAGCAACAACACTTAGAGTGGAAAGGGTTGGTTCTGTCTCACAGCTTACAGTCCATCACCCAGGGAAGCTAAGGCAGGACCTGGAGCAGAGACTGTGAAGAAATGCTGATTATTGGCTTGCTGTCCTTAGCTCTTTCAATTTCCTTTTTAAAACAACCCAGGACCTCTTGACCAGGGTTAGCACCACCTTCAGTGGGATGAGCCCTCCCAGATTGATCACTAATCAAGAAAATGCCTCCTATATGCTTGCTACAGGCCAAACTGATGGAGGCGGTCTCTCAGTTGAGGTTCCCTCTCCCTGGATGACCCTAGCTGGTGTCAAGTGGACAAAAGGTAACCAGCACTATGTAAGCTTCCTTCTTCGTGCCCAGTCTCTGCTTTCTCCAAGATGGTTTACCTTTCGAGTGGTCCTTGTTTTCATGTTATCAGTGTTTTCCCATGTCTACTGCTTTTTGACTGATTGCTTATAAACAGGATACCAAACTGTCATGGCGTGGTGCTGGCTAGGGCAGACCTTGTCTGTTATTACTTTCACTGAACTATGGCCTCTTCAAGAAGCTCTTGAGGTCCTTTGATGCAGCCATTGTGTCAAATCTAATCTTTATCAAATCCTTACCTAGCCTCCCACTTGTGTAAGACAGGCATATCTCTGTTCAGAGGTAGAAGATCTGCCGTCTCAGCATTTGCTGTGCAAACTTGCATTAAGTTCCATATTTTCTCTAAGTCCCACAACTCCAGTTGTGCTTCCTAGTCCATGGTCTGAAACAGCACGTTTGATCGTCTCTGCAGAATGGGGATCTAGGTTTGCTAGGGACAAAAACATGAAGGAAGGGAAGGAGCCAAGGTCCGCTTGTGTTTTGAGAGATGGTCAACCAGTCTTCCCCTTCCCTTTCTAAAAGTGTCTGTTTTGTTAGTTCTTGAATCTTTGGGGCTCCTAAGACAGAACTCAGGCTGTTCGTGGCTGTTCGGGACTTAACGTTCTCAGGCCTGCTAAGTCACTTTCCACTTGTTAATATGGTTCTTATTAAGTGAGCTTTCAAGCTTCCAGGCTTTTGTGCCTGCTGTCTCTTTTATATGTCCTTTTTGTTTGTTTGTTTTAATGAGGTCTCAGGAAGTTAAAGGGCATGTGCACTTTTCCATCTTTAGCAGGAAGTTCCAGACAGTGCTTGAACTTGAACTCCATATTGCCTCCCTAGAAGCAGACCCATACAATAAAATATTGCCGATGAACAATTTTGAAGCTTTTATGATCTATTGGACACTATTTTAAGAGCATGGGCACTAACCTCATGCCAGGAGGATGGTGACAGCTTGGTGGTCCCAGGAAGCCTGGAGGGGTACGTTTAATGGTGACAACACTGGGAGAGTTGAAAGACCAGCAGAACACGCTCTGTCTGTGGGATGGCCTAGAGCAGACCACACTCCAGTCAAGTCCTAACTTTGACTTTGCCTCTATTAGCTGACCTAAGAGAAGCAGCCCCTAAACTGTGTCTCTTGATTTTCACGACCTTGGGTAGCATTTGTAATCAAATACATGTGAATTTTCAGCATGGACTTCACACTATCTCAGATGGTGAGCATCTAGACAAATGTCGGGGGGGCTAGGATCAAAAAAACAGGAGGACCTTTCTCATGAGAGCCATCGACCTGTCTTGGGATGAGTGTCCACATCCCACCTTCAGTGCTGGAGCCCTGTCTGGCTTGAACCTGGGCAGGCCCTGTGTGCTGCAGTCTCAGTGAGTTCATATGTGTCTGTTCTGTTGCGTCTAGAAGACACTGTTTCCTTGGAGTCAGTCATCACCTCTGGCTCTCACAGTCTTTCCTCCTCCTCTTCCAAACAGATCCCTGAGTCATGAGAGGAGAGGTTTGAGGACAACATCTCACTTAGGACTGAGTGTTCCAAAGTCTCTCACTCCCTGTGCACTGTCCAATTGTGGGTCTCTGTGTCGGTTACTGTCAACTGCGAGAGGAAGCTTCTGGGATGATGACTGAGCAAGGCACTGATCTGAGTCCCAACCCAGTGTGGCCAAGGACAGAAATGTTAACACCCTTTCAAATAAGGAAACTGAGTCACAGAAACAAGGTAACAAATGCTAAGTCACGTGGTAACAACACTTGGAATTGGTGACTTGATATTGAGTATTTGCTTTTTACCCAGCCTGGTCTCGTATTCCTCCACCATCTTGGCATCTGTCCTTGGGTCCCTTCTATCACCAATCCATTGACTGTTTTGTTTTTATCCTCATTGGTTGCCTTTTCTTCTCTGCAGGCCTCTCTCCTGAATGAACCATCACTTCACCTTGCTCCTGGCTTCCAGTGGGGTTACAAACACTTTAGTACCAGAAGTCTAAGATGTGACTAAGCTACAGGAAAGGCCCTCCAAGTGGGATTCCTCAAACCACAGTGCGGGAGCATGGTGCCTCCAGTTGCCTTCCGGAAGAGGACAATCAAACAAGAGTTCTTGCTGCAGGTCTCCTTATAGATACGTGGGAGAACTCCACCTTCTTCTCCTCCTCAGTCCTGTTTCTGACGTAGCTAAGGACTCAAAGCCTGTCTTCACATCTTAGCCTGAGATAACCAGCATGCTGAGCTCACGATGGGCCCATCAGCTCTAACCCTGTTCAGCCTGTCCTCGCTCTGTTTGCCCCTTCAGTGATTTGCCTGTGCTCTTGTTTCAATGACTTGTATCCTTCCACCTGCCAACTGTGGAGTTGGACCCCACGTCGTGCCTTCTCTCTTGGGGTAGCCTGCCTCTGGGAAAGTCGTAAGTCAGACGCTTGTTTTCTCTCACAGTAAAACCCCCTGATTTCAGCCCTCCAGTCCTCTCTTTCCAGCCACTGCCTCGCCATTCAGCAGGTCCCTTCCTTTCATTAACTGAGGATTGAGGCCCAGAAGGGCCTAAGAGGTAAGACCTAATGTTTGGCTCTACAGCAGTCTGCACCATGCAGATATTACTTGGGTTACTCGT